TTGACAATATTGTTTTTGTTATTTAATTGCTATTGCCAGGGAGATATAGTTAGTGATATTGACAGATTTTCTCTGTATCCCAATATCTAGACTGCTTTTGCATGATTAATCCTGTGGTCTATTACCAGAGAACTGGATGCTGGGAAAGTGACAAAGCGTCTTACCCTCCCAAATTAACAGAGTTGGGGGCGGGGTCTTGGGAAAGAGGCAAATGCCTATAGTGACTCATGCCTAGAATGCATCACTGAAAAGCAGACACTAACTAAAGAGATCTCTATAGTAGCAACACAATTGTTCCAGTATAAGCACCCACAAACCACAGCACCTACAAAAAATTTACAGCAATAAGATCATGAGAAGACACGTTAACAAAATATCTCTGAAAACTTTCAGCTCTCCAAAAGTTGATCCCCAAGGCAAAAAGGGGAAGGAAATAAAAATACCCTATAGCTGAATAATTTGAATGATAAACAGTAGATTGAAAAACCAGATTAATAAAGTGCTTAGATAGTTCAAAAAAGATCAAACTAAGCAGCTTTTAGACTTGATGAACAAAACCATCAGTGAGTTTACAAGTGACAGAAAAAACTACATAACCTAAGTAAAATAATACAAAATACAAATGATGAGTTTAAAAAATAATTTGAGTTCATGAGAAGATACCAAAATGAAATCCAGGGGTCAGGGATTTAGCTTAGTGGCATAAGCACCTGGCCAGGGAGATCCTGAGTTCAATTCCCAGTACAAAAAAAAAAAAAAAAAAAAAAATTCTATTGTAAGTATGAGCAGCAAAAGTGACCAGTGTGAGGACAAGGTGTCAGAACATGGGCTGATATTGAACAAATTATTCAGAGATATCTTGAAAACAATGTGAGAACATGAAAAAATGTATCTACTAGATGATATGAATAGGAATAATCTAAGATTAAACAGAATTTGGAAAAATCCAGAAGATGGCACAAATGGCATAAATTATCTGCTTATTGAAATAATAGCAGAAAAAAATTTTATGGGAAACATATTTAACACACAGATGAGTGAGGCATGTAGTTCCCCCAAGTAGCCACAATCAGAAAAGAACTGCTCTATGAAACATGATAGACGAAATAGAGAAATCCAACAGAAGAAAAGAATTTTATAAGCTATTAGAGCAAAGCTATGAATCACTTATAAAGGTAAATGCTTTAAAACTACAGTAGAATTCTCAACATAAATACTAAAGACTAGGAAAGCATGGAGTGAGGTATTCAAGCCTTACAAGAAAATAGCTTCCAACCAAAAATACTATATCCTGCAGAGCTGTCCTTAAAAACTGCTGAAGAAATAAGGTACTTTATGCCAAAGATGACCTTAAGAAATTCATGACCACCAAGTAAGCCCTCCAAAAAACATCTAGGGAACCCACAACACCCAAAGAAGTCTAATAGAATAAGCACACTATGAAAAGGTGAGAAATTAAGGAGAAGATAGGAAAAGAAATCAATAAAATAAAAATAATGCAATGGAACAAATAAATCAGTACCTTTGGTGATATGAATGGTTTCTATTCCTCCAGTAAACGACACATGATGACAGAACAAATCAAAAAACAAAACCCAACAGTATACTGTATAAAAGAAACACATTTACTCTAGAAGGAAATTCATGGACTAAAATGTCAAAGTATAGAAAACAATACTTCATACAACAGGAACACAAAAATAGCAGAAGTACCTATCCTCTTTTCATACAAAGTGGACTGCAAGACTAAACTGACCAGAACAGGCAAGGACTATCAAAAAATATTATTTAATGAAACAATTCAACTGGTAGAGATAACATGTATAAACACCTGCACTGAATGACAGCATACACAACTGCATTTAAAAAAAGTACTGAACATAAAAGATCAGATAAATACTAACACAAGTATAATGACTTGCCTCAATATTCTACTGTCACCAAAACCAGAATTAAATGACAAAGCAAAATAGAATTTTACAAGCACATGGAAACAAATATTTTATTGACTCATCAATGGGTCACAGAAGAAATCATGGAAGAAATCAGCCAATTCTAAGAATCAAATAATAATTTCAGTGCAACATCCTGGAAAATTTGGAATATAATAAAACCAGACCTCAGCATTAAGTTCATAGCTGTAAATGCTCACATCAGAAACACAGGGAAAGCCCAAATAAATACCATACCATAGTGATCCAAATCAAATGCTACAAAAAGAAGAAAAATCCAAATCTAAAACTCATAGAAAGAAGGAAATTATAATGATTATACTAGAAATTCATGAAATTAAGACTAAAATATAAACAAAGACTTAATAAAGGGAAAGTGAGTTTTTTAAAAAAATAAACAAGCTAGATAAACTTCTAGCCAATCCTACAAAATAGAAAAGAAAACAAAAAATCAATGCAATTAGAATTGAAGAAAGTAAAATCACAACAGACACTGACAAAATCAAGCAGAGTGTTAGGAAATACTTGTACTCCAAAGAACTGGAAAGTCTAGAAAAATGGGTATATATATATATATATATATATATATATATATGAACTATAAAACTGAGACAAGAATGTGTTAGAAACTTGAACAACCAAATGACAGGCAATAAAATTGAAGTAGTAATTTTAAAAACCCACCATCTAAGAAAAGTACAAATTCTGGTAAACTCACTGCTTAATTCTACAAGAATACTAATGCCCCTAACTGTTTAATGAAATTCAAAGTATTCTTTAGATGGAGTTCTCCCAAAGTTATTCTTGGAACCTGGCATTACCCTAAATCCAAAACCAGACTGGATCCAACAAAAAACAGAACTACAGCCCTATTAATTTAATGAACATAGATGCATGAACAAGAAATTCTTAAAGACATTGCAACAAAATATTGAAATGATAATGCATCATGATCAAGTAAGTTTTATGTCCGGAGCCGCTTCCGTCCCGCGGAATGGAGCACACGAACACTCAGCTTCTGCAAGCACCTTTATTGACTGGGCAGCAACCTCAATACATGTCCGTCCTCGACGGCTTCTTCCGTGTTGTGCGTTGGGCACTTCCTATACTTGGGCTTATATAGCTAATGTTATCCAATCATGGGATTACACGTGGGGACAGGCGATTGGGCGGCAACAATGAAGCAATCAATCATTACCATATATGGCAGGGACAGTAAGCCGAGCAAGAACCAGGAAGCAGGATGTGTGCGCCATCTTGGGCACACGATGGGCGGGGGAGCAGCGAGGCGGTAGGCGGACGCCATCCTGTGGTTATATTCTCATGGGTAATACGGCAGGCTCCCAACATCTCCCCCTTTCTTATTTACAAGGAAGGACAGCGAGACCTTCCAAGTGACTACAGAGGTCTGTACCCCGCTGTGCATGGCTCTGAGGTCATCCCCCGGCACAGGTTGGCCACCCCCGCGTCGGAAGGGACCTCCAAGCCTCATCCTTTTGCGCAGGGCTAGGGTAATTCGGATGAAACCTAGATGCATACAGACATATAGCCTGACATCTCTCTTCAAAAACCCCAAGAGTAGAATGTCATGCAGTACCATCTGGTCTCACACTTTGGTACCTCTCGCTGTCTTAATGGAATGGGGCCTGTCTTAGGTTGAGCAAGGTGGAGTACCTTGATCTTACCCGTCTTCGGCTCGCCCATTCAGCATCCTTATAACTGATGCTCTGCAACATGAAGGAGATATGCAGCCGCCCGACCACCAGATGGGCCAGCCTCCGCCAGCTGCATAGCCGCCAAGGCTGTAAATCTGACTTGTTGTTGAGTCTGCATCAAGCGATCAAGCAAGCATTTAACAACCACTAATCCAACCAGGATAGCAACAGCAATAAAAATCCAGGTAGTCAAATTGGGCCAGGAGGACCAAGAGGTGACATGATTCCATAAACCTTTTAGAACATCACTCAGGGTAGACAAATCAAATCTAACCGGGTTCAACTGAATTTTTTCTATTTCATCTAATTCCTGACTAACAATCATTGACAGGTTGTGAAATTTTGGCAAATAAGTGTCCTGCAGCCATTTAGTCATAGTCTTTGTAGTTTCAGTCAGGTTGGTGCGAACAGGGGTGACGCAGACCCGGAAAGGCAGCCACCTCTGATCACAGAGTTGAGTGACAACCTGCCACAACACATCAATCTCCTGCCCGATGAGCTGGATCTCTTCTTGTAGCCGAAGTATAGCCTGGCTGTTAAGCTCAATCTGTTGCCTTTGAGCCTTGATGGTCTCTCGTGTGGCGTTGCTCAGCCAATTGACTGCATCCATGGTCAGCGTGAGCTGCTCAGAGGTCCATGCCTGCAAAACAGCCTGTCCCACTGCAGGGACAAACAGAGAAGAAACCACCCCCGCTGCCTGCCACAACCAATCTTTTATCCCTCCTTTTGTTCTGGTTGGCAATGAGGAGAGTGTCCTGGGCTTGGACGGGAACCCAAAGATCAGGGAGAGAACAGCATAGGCTGCTCTTTTTTTTTTTTTTCTTTTTGTCTTTTTCGTTTTTATCAGTACCAGGGATCAAACTCACGACTCCCTGCTTGCAAGGCAGGCGCTTATGCTGCTGAGCTAAATACCCAGCCCTTTCCTGTCCCTCTTAGTGACGGCGGGCACAGGAGAGGTATTTCCTTGCAATTTGATTCCCAGGCCTTTACCGGGGGTATAGCCCATCCACTTCATCATGTTTTGAGACACCTCAGAACATCCCGTATGTAGGATGATGTCCATTTGGACTAGAATATCTCTGCCCCAAAGGGTTACTGGGAGGTTAAGGACATAGGGTTGAAAAGACCCACCATGTCCCTCCTCGTCCTGCCAGGGAAGGGACTGCACACTTATACTGGGTGAATGCACAAATCCCAATCCCTGAAGGGTCTGTTCTGCCACATTGAGGGGCCAGGAGGCCGGCCAATCTTTATGAGCAATGATAGAGCGGTCAGCGCCGGTGTCTAGCAACCCCTTAATTTTCTTACCATTGATTGAGAGGAGCAACATGGGTCATTCCTGCAAGGTCATATGAAGGCCAATAAAATTTTCGCCCGTGGACCCAAATCCCTGGGCACCCCGAGACTGTTGCTTAGCTGGATATTGACCATGCAAGCTGGGCAGAATAAGTAACTGGGCTATCCTATCCCCTTTGTTTATAATCAGTGTTCCTTGTAATGACTGAGCCATAATCTTAACCTTGCCCATATAATCAGAATCGATGACACCTGGCACAACTGTAAGGCCACGAAGGGCCACTGAAGAGCGCCCTAAAAGCAGGCCAACAGTATTCGGTGGCAATGGCCCCTTAAATGAAGTTTCTATCAATTGGACTCCCATTTCAGGTGTTAGTATGAGTCCGGAGGCGGCACAGAGGTCCACTCCTGCTGACCCTGGGGTAGCCCTGACTGGCTGTTCATTCCCGGGAAGAGGTTGTTGAGGGGATGGGGGCCCGCCCGCTGGGAGGGCCCCCTCTGGCCGTTTTTTGACCGGGACTCTTTGCGGCCAGTTAGAGAATTGCCCTCCTTATCAAAAACGGAGCGGCGTCCGGAGGACGGAAGTGTGGCAGGGAAGGGAGGGGGCGGCCCCCAACCACCAGGGGCACTCATTCCCTGGGGTGGTTCCCAGGGAGGGGCCGACGGGACTAACCCCGCCTCGCCGGGGGTGCGCATTTCCTGCAGATCACTCTCCACCCTCTCGAGCTCCTCCCCTAGGCTCTCCATCATCCCTTCACACAAGGCTCCAGCAGGTTTATGAACTTTCTGCCCTGTATTGCGATGTGGGCCTATCTTACTGTCAGTTTCCTCCTCTGGGCCCACCTTAGGGTCTTCCCCCTCTGAATCTGAATGGCTCGGTGAGCCAACCTCTGAGGCCTCCCTGGAGCTCTCCGAGCGCGCCTGCTCGAAAGCGTGGCATGCCTCTTTGAGTCCCTGGGCTGCGCCTACCATACTTTCGGCTTTAAGACATGCCCGAACCATCTCCCATATGGGGCGGACCATAGGGTTGACACCCATCCCTTGTTCCTCAGCAAACTGAATATCACATCCTAACTTCTCCCAGGAGGGTAAAGTGAGGGATCCGGTGGGCAGAAACCATGGGGCCAAACCATCCATACATTCGAAAAACTGCAGCACCATTTGCTTATCTATCCTAATCCCTCGCGCCTTAAGCAACAACCACAGCGATAAGGCGAGGGGGCCGCAGTTAACATTGCCCATCTTAACAAAATTAAAGAGCCCCGAGGCGCAATAGCCAACAGTGGCCTGCCCTTCTTTTTCGGGCAATGTCGATCCCCGCAAGGGGTCGACCAGTAGATCCCTTAAAGTGCGTCCACCAAGGGCCGGGTTAAGCCGGCGCTCACCCGCAGGTACGTACCGTTTTTCAACACAGTCACAGGAGCCGCAGAAGGCACGGGAATGGTTTCAAGTCCCTGTACAGGCCACCAGCTGTCCGGAGCCACTTCCATCCCGCGGAATGGAGCACACGAACACTCAGCCTCTGCAAGCACCTTTATTGACTGGGCAGCAACCTCAATACATGTCCGTCCTTGACGGCTTCTTCCGTGTTGTGCATCGGGCACTTCCTATACTTGGGCTTATATAGCTAATGTTATCCAATCATGGGATTACACGTGGGGACAGGCGATTGGGCGGCAACAAGGAAGCAATCAATCATTACCATATATGGCGGGGACAGTAAGCCGAGCAAGAACCAGGAAGCAGGATGTGTGCGCCATCTTGGGCACACGATGGGCGGGGGAGCAGCGAGGCGGTAGGCGGACGCCATCCTGTGGCTATATTCTCATGGGTAATACGGCAGGCTCCCAACAGTTTTACTCCAGGATTTCATAGATGGTTCAAGATATAAAAATTAATAGATGTAATACATCAGTTAAACAGAAGACAAGACAAATATCACATAATCATCTCAATAGATCCAAGAAAAAAAGTTGAAAAAATCCAACATTCATTCATAATAAAACCCCAAACTAAAACAGATATAGAAGTAACTTTTCTCCATATAGTAAAAGGCATTTAGGAAAACCAGTAGCCAACATCATACTAAATGGAGAAAACCTGAAAGCTTTCCTTCTAAACTTAGTAGCAAAACTAGGAAATCCACTACCACCGTCCCTGTTCAATATTGTACTTGAAACGTTAGAGAAGTCAGGCAAGAGAATGAAATAAAAGTGGTGCATATGAAAAAGAGAGAAATTACCATTATTTGAAGTTTATATGATCATAGGTTACAGACATGATTGTAGATGTCATGGTTACATGATCCTCTCCATAGAACACTGAAAATAACCTCTCCAAAAATACTCTAAGAAGTAAAAACTAAACTCAGTAGTGTAGCCAGACAAATAATCAATAGTGGTTTTGTACACCAACAATGAACTCACTGAGAAAGAAATTAGGAAAATAATACCTTTCAAGAAAAGTAAATAGTTAGGAATTAACCTAATCAAGACAGTGGAAGACCGCTGGAATAGAAACTACAGTACTCTGAGGAAAAAAGAACAAATTAAAGAACACACCATAATGTGTAAAGATATCCCATGTTCTTGGAAGGCAGAACCAATATTGTCAAAATGGTTCTAAAATTAATGTGTATGTGTAATGGAATTTCAGTAAAACAACTGGTAATATTCCTGACAAAACTAGAAAAAAAATTCACATGAAACATCAGAGACTCAGAATAGCAAAAATAATCCTGAACACAAGCAGAGAAGGCAGCATCACAATCCTGGATTGCAACATAGGAAAAACTACAAAGCTACCGTGATAAAAACTGCATGGCACTTCCACAAAAACAGACATAAGGATCAATGAAACAAACCAGAAGATGCACAAACAATACAAGGCATAATTAAATCATCTGATCTTTCAGAAAGTGGCCAAAAATTTACATTGGAGCAAAAATAGACTCTTTAACAAAAGATCTTGTCAGGCACCGTGGTGCACCCATATAATCCCAGTACTCAGCAGACTGAATCAGGAGGATTCCTGTGAGTTTGAGGCCAGCCATGGCTACATAAGCGAGCTCAAGGTCTGCCTGCACTACCCAGTGAGACCATGTCTCAAAAAAGAAAAAATAAATAACCATACAGGCAAACAAACAAACATATGATCTCGTGAAAATTAGCTATTTACATGTTGAAGGCTGAAGGTTGATTTCTATCTGTCATCATGTAAAATCAGATGGAGCAAAGAATCGTCCATTAATACAAAAGCAATCTGCTGAAAGTTGAATTAGGCAAAACTTTTGAAGATTTAGGTACAGGTAAGAACTTTCTGAAGAGAATCCCAATTGCACAAGAAATAACACCGCAATTCAGCAAGTGGAATCAGACCAAATTTAAAAGCTTTTGCACAGAAAAGAAAACAAGAGAGAAAAGAGACAACCTACAAAATGATAAAAATATTTTGCTTGGACAGAAGATTAACATCTAGAGCACACAAAGAGCTCACAAACATTTATACCATCTAAAATAAGAGACCCAGTGAAAAAAATGGACAGCCAAAATGATCGGACTCCTCCCTGAAGAAGTATATATGGCCAATGGACATGTGAAAAAAATGTTCAACATAGGTGATCATTGGAGAAATGCAAATTAAAAGACGCGGAAATCCCACATTAGTCCAGAAAGCATGGCCAACATCAAGAAATCAAACAAGTGCTGGAAGGACAGCTGGAAAATATCCCCCTCCTAAATTGCTGGTACAAACAGAAGCTAGCAGGCACTATGAAGATCAGTGTGAAGATTTCTCAGACGATTAAAAGTAGAAATTGCACTTAACCCAGCCCTTCCCCTCCTAAACATTACTCACTAAGAGTGAAAGTCATCATATTATAGGGATACAGGCATACCTATGATTATGGTAACAGACTTCACGGTAGCTAAATCTTAGATGAAGCCTATATATTCACATGAGACGAATTAATAAAGAAGGTGTGGTATTTATGCACAATCGAGTAGTTATAAAGATTATATGCTTGAATCCTCCTCAGTAAAATGATTGCATCTGGAGATCATAATATAAAGAAAAATAATTCAGACACCTAAGGTAAAATATCAAATGACTTATTTTATATAAGAAACCAAGATATAAATAGAGTACAAAATAGAAGACAGAGAATAGAAGGAAACGGAGATAAATCATTTGTAAAAGGAAAGGAAGCCAAGCGATAGAGAGAGAGGAATGGAAAGGGATAAACTAAGACTTGAAATGTGTTGCGAACATGCACCCAAGAGGAATGTAACCATTACGAACTGTAAAATGTATCCATAAATACAAAAAGTTTTAGTAACTCTAAAAAAGTTCATGTCACATCTGCCAACTAAAAGACTTTAAATTCAAGGAAGACCAAATAGCAGTGTGCCTTCCTAAGGCCCCTACGGTGATATTTTGATTCTACTTCTAGCCTAACCAAAGCAAGGCAGATTCCAGGGCTGGAATAGAAATTGCACTGTACTGAGTGGATCTCCTTGTGCGTAAAAACATTTATCTGCCGCAGTCTACTAGAGTTAGGCCAAAAGGACTTTGAAGTCAGCCTTAAAGGCCTTCTCCACATGAATGAGGAACATTGAGAATATCAAAAGGAAGAACAGTGCCAAAGTTTTTACAGATGAATGTTTCAGGTGCTTCTGCCCCACACAAATTGTTAATTTTAAGAGTTATCAAGATGTAAACTTCAATGTTCTGAAAATTAGTAGTCAGCAAAATGTCAAATAGATACTGAAATTTTAATACAAACTGATTGAGACTAATGATGTAGTTGAAGAGTAAGAAGTTTCCCTTTGTAATGAAATCTGGCCAATAAAGGCAGAAGCAGACTATCACCATTTTACAATCTCCAATGCAATAACTGATCTTCTGACCATCTAATGGACGCTAAAGCCATTCACTAACAGGTTGATCAGGAAAGTCACACTGGAGGTTTCTGACTGGCAGCAAAGGAACTTACAGATTGGTTTTATCCACCCAAAGCAGGACAACCAGGCATTATTTGCCTCCTGCAGTGTGACAATGGGACACACACATACTTATAAAACACTCTCGCTAAAACTTGACATCCAGATCCAATCCAGGGCCCAAGACCTCATTAACAATTACACAAACAGCAGTGACCAGAAAGAACTCTCACTGCCAGGAGGACTCAACTATATTAATCTCAAATTCAAATAATTCTTTGGAAGAAATGGCCTCTCTAATTCCTTTAACAAATAAATAGGATGATAAAGAGGAGAAAGCCACTATACATCAAGAGACACCATAGTTACACAGCCCAAAGGCAGTGTGTAGACTTCATTTGAATCATGATTTTAACGGACAATTCTAAAATGATATTTTTATGTAATCTGACAATTAGGAAAGTGAAGAATTTGTAAAATTACACTGAGTGTGATAAAGGATTGTGGTTTTGTTTCTTAAGAAACCCTTTACAATAGATCAAACTATGAGAATGTGTTTAAAGTACCTGCTAGGAAGGCGTTATTGTTAGTTTTCTGTGTTAGCCTTCTAATACTCGACTCTCATAAGTTAAAGGAGGAGTGATTAAAGTTGACTCCCTGCTACAGGGCTCAGTTAATAGTGCAGGCTGACTCCAGAGCAGAAGCACCATGGCAGAAGGGCATGTGAAGTGGAGGTGCCCAGTTCATGATGGCAGGAAAGCACAGAAAGGGAAGAGAGCCAGAGAGGAAGGGGAAATGAGCAGACAT